GCCCCCCCTGCGCCCCCCCCCCCCGCGCCCATGATTCTTCTCCGCACGGCTGGCTGCTCATCGAGAGATCTCCGCTCGGGGGCATTCCCAGAAACAGAGGCGAGGTGGGGCCAGGGCGCGCCCTCCTGCCCGCTGGCGCTCCGGCGGCGACCCACCGCTCGCTCCCCGTCGCTCCTTGGCCCCGCGAGCCAAGACTTTCCCCTCTCTCCCGGACCCGCGCACGCAAGTTCTTTCGCCCTCCTGGGGAGCCCTGGGGAGGGGAGACCGCTTGGCCCCCCCAAACCCTCCCTCCCTCAAGAACCAAGCACCCCAAGTGGCAAAGCAACCCGCGGCCCCGTCCCCTCGGAGAAGGGACAACCGCCCCACCCCCGGTGCCAGCCCCCAGAGGCTCCACATCCTTCCCACAACCAATGTTCCCTCTAAGCTGTGGAATCTTGTGAGCAAAAATTCTACTTTGTGAGCTGCTGGCATTAAAGTTGTGAGCAAGCAATTTGGCTACTGCGTGCATTAGTTTACTCTGGAGCCCTCCTTCCTGAGCACTGAGACAAAAATTTATGAGCTGGAGGCTAAAAAACTGTGAGCTAGCTCACACTAACTCAGCTTAGAGGGAACACTGCCCACAACCACCCTGAAGAAAGGCACCCAGCAATGCCCAGCTGGTCCCGCGAGGAGCGCTGCCAACACCCTCCGATTTCGCCCCCCGTCGCCCACCCCTCTCCCGCCGGCTCCCGGAGCGCCCGGGCACTCACCCCGCGGAGCATCAGGAGTCCCAGCCACAGCGCCAGCCGCCGCTCCATCTTCTCAGGGCTGGCGAGACGCGCGGGCAGCAGCGGGCCAGGGGGGAGGCGTCTGCCACATGCCCTTCCCCGGGCGACCCGCCGCCTTCGGCCCCCGCGGGCGCGACTGGAGCGAGAGGCAGCGGCGAGCGGCGCACGGAACTGGGGAGGCGCGCTCCGGCCGGGACAGCAGCACCTGCTTTCTGGCACGGGCAGGCTCAGCCCCCTGGCTTTATGGAAGCGATCGATGCTCTCCTCCCACTGGCTGGCTGGCTGGCTGGCTGGGTGGCTCGGAGCCGGCGGAGAAACGAAGCCCGCAAGCCGCCAACCTCCACGAGTCCTCCCGGCCACGCCCCCACCGCCCCCCCCCCCCCCCCCGCAAGAGCCGGAGCCGGACCGAGAGGGAGGGAAAGAAGCGCGCCGTGATTGAGCCCCTACTCGCTTCGGGCGGGGGCGGACGCGCGGCTGGAAGAGGGAAGCCCCGGGTCGGCCTCCAGTCCGGCTTCATCCCAGTCTGCTGAGAACAGCTGTTTTAGCGAGGGTTTCCAGCCTCCAGGTGGGGCCTGGAGATCTCCCGCTATTACGGCTGATCTCCAGGCGACGGAGAGTTCCCTTGGAGAAAAGGGGCGCTTTGGAAGGGGGACTCTGTGGCACTGTGCCCCATTGAAGCCCCTCCCCTCCCCAAACCCTGCCCTCCTTGGGCTCCACTCCCAAAATCTCAACCTAGAACTGGCAACCCTAGTTGCCAGCCTCAAGGTGGGGCAGGGTTCCCAACCTCCAGGTGGTGGCTGGAGATCCCCCACTATTACAACCCTTCTCCAGGTGACAGAGATCAGTTCCCCTGGAGAAAAGGGTTGCTTTAGACGAGGCATTGTACCCCATTGAAGTCCTTCTCCTCCCCAAATCCTGCCCTCCTCAGGCTCCACCCCCCCCTCCAATCTCCAGGTATTTCCCAATCCAGAGCTGGCAACCCAGTGTCTAGTGGAGGGGGAAATGGGAGGGCAGGTGAAGACGTGGACTGAGGAAAAACAGGAGCATTGGCCCTGGCAACGTTTGCACACGATCCTGAGCTTGGAGATGTTGTGAGACCTCAAAGGGCAGCCAGACATCTGTCCTCTTGGCACCGAGAGAGGACCTACTCCAGCTATGCCTAGAGCCATTCTAGAAACATAGACCTGGAAGGGTCCCAAGGGTCATCTAGTCCACCCTCTGCACAATGCAGGACTTTCACAGCTTCCTACCTGCTGCCATTCTTTTCAGTGTAGTTTATGCTACCCCCAGTTATAGGCTGGATCATGTCCCATGTTACTGAATGGACTGTGGGTAACTACCTATACCCTGACCTGGATGGCCCAAGCTAGCCCAATCCTGTCAGATCTCAGAGGCTAAGCATGGTTGGCCCTGGCTAGTATTTGAAGGGCAACCTCCAAGGAATCCAGGGGGTGTGACGCAGAGGCAGGCAATGACAAACCATCTCTGAAACGTCTCTTGCCTTAAAAACAAGTTTAGCTTGCCACCTGGTGGTACATAACGCTAAAAGAGCTAGAACTTCTGCTGGCCAGACAATCTTAGGATCTCCTGGCTATACTACACACAATGCCATATGATAATTATTATTACCTATGTATTTCATGTTTATCCTCCCTCTTTCCCATAAGGAAATGGTTAGAGTATCAGACAGAATATGCCCCAACGCACATGCCTTCTATCATCTGCAGCTTTGCGTATAAATACATCTGCCTAATGGTTGAACACTCTGATGCATCTGATGAAGTGAAGTCTGATACCTTTTGTTAGTCTTTAAGGTGCCGTTGGTGCTGACACAGACTAAAACAGACTAACCCTGGTATGATAAATTTGTTTACTGGGGGGAGGGGTTTAAGTCCCGTCAAGCTGCTTCTGACTTATGGTGACTCTATGAATTGAATACTGAATTGAATGAAGATCTGATTGAATGAATGGAATGAAGATCTGATGACATGTGCATGCACATGAAAGCTTATACCCAGAATTAAACTTTATTGGTTTTAAAGGTGCCACTGCACTCAGACTTTGTCCTCCAAAACGTCCTATCATAAGAAAATAAGAGAAGCCAATGTTGGATCTGGCCAATGGCCCATCCAGTCCAACACTCTGTGTCACGCAGTGGCCAAAAATACCAGGTGCCATCAGGAGGTCCAGCAGTGGGGCCAGGACACTAGCAGCCCTCCCACTGTTGCCCCCCCCCCCAAGCACCAAGAAGACAGTGCATCACTTGCCCCAGAGTCCCTATCCATACCTTGTGGCTAATAGCCATCGATGGACCTCTGCTCCATATGCTTATCTAATTCCCTCTTGAAGCCGTCCATGCTTGTAGCCGCCACCACCTCCTGTGGCAGTGAATCCCATGTGTTAATCACTCATCAACAGCCTTGCTCAGGTCTTGCAAACTGAGGGACGTGGCTTCCTTGATTGAGTCAATCCGTCTCGTGGTGGGTCTTCTTCTTTTCCTGCTGCCTTCAGCTTTCCCCAGAAGTATTGTCTTGTCCAGTGTGTCTAATAAAGGTGCTTATTACACCCTATATGTTACTGGCACATATTACCCCGTTGTTATCACATTGTTTGTCAGTTTTGCATTTCAGCCATTACATTATTTGTACAGATTACACACTTTTAGTGCGCGCGCACTGTCCTTTCACTTTGCAACCCAGTTTTATTCACCCTCGGTTGTGTGCTTTATATTGTTCTTATTGCATAGTGTTTCAGTGTGTAATCTGCCAAGAGCCTTAGCGAGAAAGGTGGACTAGACATGAGTTGAATAAGTATTAAATATTAAGAATCATGGAAGATGACCTGGCTCTACAGAAAGATTTAGCCCTGCCTGCATTTGAAAACACCTTGTCGCCTGGAGGGAAGAAGTTGCGCTCCACCCTGCTCTGGAGCAGAACTCATGTGCTTAGATGATGCACACCAAAGACAGGGGAATGGCAATTCTTCTCAGCTCTTCTGCCCGAACCATCTGCTTCGTCTTGCTTCGGGTTCCTCAACCTCTGCTCTTCCTTTTCGTTCCCAACATCTTGTAAGATGGTTTCACTTTCCTCTACTCAGACAGTTCCTTTCTGAGCCCTCTGCGAGATCAATAATAACAGAAACAAGGATCTAATTGTCTGACTCGACAAAATTCTCCTATGCGCAGGCTCGGCGCTCACTGGATCTTGTCTGTCCAGGCCTCTGTCTCTTGCCTTTATGAAAGGCACGGCTGACTTTTTAGTTCCAGGCGCCCAGGGCTCGAATAGCTAAATCGTCCACTTGTTTAAGGACGGACAGTTCAAAATGCCATCTCAACAAAGCATTCCTGGAGAGGAGAGAGCCGGGGCGCAGGGCTGCACGTCGGAGCATGACTCGGCTTGAGCACATTCTCCAGTTGCTCATCAGAGGTTTAATGGCTATAATTGGGGCTTTAATAATGAATGCCAGTTTGAAAATCCACCCTGAAAGCACTCCGCTCTCCCAGAAGGTGTTCCCTTAAAGCTGGGGTTGAGATTGAAGGAACTATGGCATCTCTTTAAAAAACCCAATGCGCTCCAGAGTTTCTTCCCCGGCATTGTTTCTTTGAAGTTCTGGCGCATCTATAACATGCTGATGTTCACATGTGCTGCTTTTCAGCCTTTCCCCTGCTGTGCGGAAAACAGAAAGGCATATTTTGTGTGACAATCAAATTTCTGGTGGGATGCAAAACGGCCATTTTTCACCCGGCCGTTTCCCCGTTTCTGAATCTACCGAGGGCCATGCGGGGAAGCTGATTTACGGCTACAGTTCAGCCTTTCCTGTGTTTTACAATGCAAGGGTGATTTGGGTTGAGGGCAAAATTGTGTCTGTGGTATTTGGGGAGGGAACGGCAAGGAGGTGGCTCTGGAGGAGACAGGGATGCGTTCACATGGCTCTCATTAGAGCCCAGAGTGCGGCTGCTTTTGCCCTTTGAAGAATCCAGGTCCAGACTTGGGAAGCACCTCTACACTCCCTGGTCCCTGCAAATCTAACGGACAGGGACTGGTCTGTGTGGAGCAATCGGAATGTCTGGCTTTTCATGCAGAGCAGAGAGGCCTCCTTTCCTTTGCCATAAACTCTCCGTTGACCTTCCTTGGCCATAAACTGCTCCAGGAGTCAATGCTTGGAACTGACTCATATAATGACCCCACGGACACATTGTTGTGGCCACCTGAAATCTTATCCTGTGCATTGGCTAAAATCATAAGAATCCATTTAGACAGGCCACAAGGCCTTGGGCATAGCCAGTGGATTTTCTAAAAGTTTGTTTTCCTCTTATGAGCAGCCAGCCTCCAGGTCTGGCCTGGGGACCTCTCGCTTTTACAACTCATCTCCAGCTGACAGAGATCAGTTCCCCTGGATAAAATGGCTGCTTGGACTCTAGGGGGACTTGATGGCATTGTACCCTGCTGAGGCCCCTCCCCTCCCCAAACCCCGCCCTCTCCTGGACCCAACCCCAAAGTCTCCAGGTATTTTCCAAACCAGACTTGGCAACCCTACCCCACCCCCCAGTCAGGGCAGTCTTAGTCATGGGCATCCAGGGAAGCTCCCCAAAGTCTTGTATTTGAGGGGCCACAGTGGGGGCCTGGTGGCTGCCCTGACGAAGCCATCGCTGCCAGGACTCCAGGGACCCAGCCGCCCTACATAGAATGGCTGATTCCTGCCCTGAAGATGCTCATGAGAGTTGCCAGCTCTGGGTTGGGAAATACTTGGAGATTGGGGGGGTGGAGCTTAGGGAGGGTGGGGTTTGGGGAGGGGAGGGGCCTCAGCAAGGTACAAGGCCGTAGAGTCCACCCTCCAAAGCAGCCATTTTCTTCAGGGGAACTGTTGGGATATGAGCAAGTTCCTTTCCCGATGTCATGAAAGAATTAACATGTTAGTTGGCTAAGGGCCAATAGAGCAGTCTGCATGGATCTCCCTCCAGAGTGTAGGTGATATGTATAGTGAGTTGGTATTGAAATTATTTATTGTAGCAGGAACTCCTTTGCATATTAGGTGACACACCCCTAATGTAGCCAATCTTCCAAGAGCTTACAGTACCCCTTGTAAGAAGAGCTCTGTAAGCTCTTGGAGGATTGGCTACATTAAGGGTGTGTCGCCTAATATGCAAAGGAGTTCCTGCTACAAAAAGAGCCCTGGTTTGAGGATGTCCCAGGGGTGGAGGTTTAGGAAAGTTTTACTGCC